GTGCTCCTGGTGATGGTACTGGTGCTCCTGGTGATGGTACTGGTGGTGCTGGTGCTCCTGGTGATGGTACTGATGGTACTGGTGCTCCTGGTGATGGTACTGGTGCTCCTGGTGATGGTACTGGTGGTGCTGGTGCTCCTGGTGATGGTACTGGTGCTCCTGGTGATGGTACTGGTGGTGCTGGTGCTCCTGGTGATGGTACTGGTGGTGCTGGTGCTCCTGGTGATGGAAACTGGTGGTGCTGGTGCTCCTGGTGATGGTACTGGTGCTCCTGGTGATGGTACTGGTGCTCCTGGTGATGGTACTGGTGGTGCTGGTGCTCCTGGTGATGGTACTGGTGGTGCTGGTGCTCCTGGTGATGGTACTGGTGGTGCTGGTGCTCCTGGTGATGGTACTGGTGGTGCTGGTGCTCCTGGTGATGGTACTGGTGGTGCTAGTGCTCCTGGTGATGGTGCTGGTGCTCCTGGTGATGGTACTGGTGGTGCTGGTGCTCCTGGTGATGGTACTGGTGGTGCTGATGGTACTGGTGGTGCTGGTGCTCCTGGTGATGGTACTGGTGCTCCTGGTGATGGTACTGGTGCTCCTGGTGATGGTACTGGTGCTCCTGGTGATGGTACTGGTGGTGCTGGTGCTCCTGGTGATGGTACTGGTGGTGCTGGTGCTCCTGGTGATGGTACTGGTGGTGCTGGTGCTCCTGGTGATGGTACTGGTGGTGCTGGTGCTCCTGGTGATGGTACGGGTGGTGCTGGTGCTCCTGGTGATGGTACTGGTGGTGCTGGTGCTCCTGGTGATGGTGCGGGTGCTCCTGGTGATGGTACTGGTGGTGCGGGTGCTCCTGGTGATGGTACTGGTGGTGCTGGTGCTCCTGGTGATGGTACTGGTGGTGCTGGTGCTCCTGGTGATGGTACTGGTGGTGCTGGTGCTCCTGGTGATGGTACTGGTGGTGCTGGTGCTCCTGGTGATGGTACTGGTGCTCCTGGTGATGGTACTGGTGGTGCTGGTGCTCCTGGTGATGGTACTGGTGTGCTGGTGCTCCTGGTGATGGTACTTGTGGTGCTGGTGCTCCTGGTGATGGTACTGGTGGGGGCTGGTTCTCCTGGTGATGGTACTGGTGGTGCTGGTGCTCCTGGTGATGGTACTGGTGGTGCTGGTGCTCCTGGTGATGGTACTGGTGGTGCTGGTGCTCCTGGTGATGGTACTGGTGGTGCTGGTGATCCTGGTGATGGTACTGGTGGTGCTGGTGCTCCTAGTGATGGTACTGGTGGTGCTGGTGCTCCTGGTGATGGTACTGGTGGTGCTGGTGCTCCTGGTGATGGTGCTGGTGCTCCTGGTGATGGTACTGGTGGTGCTGGTGCTCCTGGTGATGGTACTGGTGGTGCTGGTGCTCCTGGTGATGGTACTGGTGGTGCTGGTGCTCCTGGTGATGGTGCTGGTGCTCCTGGTGATGGTACTGGTGGTGCTGGTGCTCCTGGTGATGGTACTGGTGGTGCTGGTGCTCCTGGTGATGGTACTGGTGGTGCTGGTGCTCCTGGTGATGGTACTGGTGGTGCTGGTGCTCCTGGTGATGGTGCTGGTGCTCCTGGTGATGGTACTGGTGGTGCTAGTGCTCCTGGTGATGGTACTGGTGCTCCTGGTGATGGTACTGGTGGTGCTGGTGCTCCTGGTGATGGTACTTGTGGTGCTGGTGCTCCTGGTGATGGTACTGGTGGTGCTGGTGCTCCTGGTGATGGTACTGGTGGTGCTGGTGCTCCTGGTGATGGTACTGGTGGTGCTGGTTCTCCTGGTGATGGTACTGGTGGTGCTGGTGCTCCTGGTGATGGTACTGGTGCTCCTGGTGATGGTACTGGTGGTGCTGGTGCTCCTGGTGATGGTACTGGTGGTGCTGGTGCTCCTGGTGATGGTACTGGTGGTGCTGGTGCTCCTGGTGATGGTACTGGTGGTGCTGGTGCTCCTGGTGATGGTACTGGTGCTCCTGGTGATGGTACTGGTGGTGCTGGTGCTCCTGGTGATGGTACTGGTGGTGCTGGTGCTCCTGGTGATGGTGGTGCTGGTGCTCCTGGTGATGGTGGTGCTGGTGATGGTACTGGTGGTGCTGGTGCTCCTGGTGATGGTACTTGTGGTGCTGGTGCTCCTGGTGATGGTACTGGTGGTGCTGGTGCTCCTGGTGATGGTACTGGTGGTGCTGGTGCTCCTGGTGATGGTACTGGTGCTCCTGGTGATGGTACTGGTGGTGCTGGTGCTCCTGGTGATGGTACTGGTGCTCCTGGTGATGGTACTGGTGCTCCTGGTGATGGTACTGGTGGTGCTGGTGCTCCTGGTGATGGTACTGGTGGTGCTGGTGCTCCTGGTGATGGTACTGGTGCTCCTGGTGATGGTACTGGTGGTGCTGGTGCTCCTGGTGATGGTACTGGTGGTGGTGGTGCTCCTGGTGATGGTACTGGTGCTCCTGGTGAGGGTACTGGTGGTGCTGGTGCTCCTGGTGATGGTACTGGTGGTGCTGGTGCTCCTGGTGATGGTACTGGTGGTGCTGGTGCTCCTGGTGATGGTACTGGTGGTGCTGGTGCTCCTGGTGATGGTGCTGGTGCTCCTGGTGATGGTACTGGTGGTGCTGGTGCTCCTGGTGATGGTACTGGTGGTGCTGGTGCTCCTGGTGATGGTGCTCCTGGTGATGGTACTGGTGGTGCTGGTGCTCCTGGTGGTGCTGGTGCTCCTGGTGATGGTACTGGTGGTGCTGGTGCTCCTGGTGATGGTACTGGTGCTTCTGGTGGTGGTACTGGTGGTGCTGGTGCTCCTGGTGATGGTACTGGTGGTGCTGGTGCTCCTGGTGATGGTACTGGTGGTGCTCCTGATGATGGTACTGGTTGTGCTGGTGCTCCTGGTGATGGTACTGGTGGTGCTGGTGCTCCTGGTGATGGTACTGGTGGTGCTGGTGCTCCTGGTGGTGCTGGTGCTCCTGGTGATGGTACTGGTGGTGCTGGTGCTCCTGGTGATGGTACTGGTGGTGCTGGTGCTCCTGGTGATGGTACTGGTGGTGCTGGTGCTCCTTGTGATGGTACTGGTGGTGCTGGTGCTCCTGGTGATGGTACTGGTGGTGCTGGTGCTCCTGGTGATGGTACTGGTGGTGCTAGTGCTCCTGGTGATGGTACTGGTGGTGCTCCTGGTGATGGTACTGGTGGTGCTGGTGCTCCTTGTGATGGTACTGGTGGTGCTCCTGGTGATGGTACTGGTGGTGCTGGTGCTCCTTGTGATGGTACTGGTGGTGCTGGTGCTCCTGGTGATGGTACTGGTGCTCCTGGTGATGGTACTGGTGGTGCTAGTGCTCCTGGTGATGGTACTGGTGCTCCTGGTGATGGTACTGGTGGTGCTGGTGCTCCTTGTGATGGTACTGGTGGTGCTCCTGGTGATGGTACTGGTGGTGCTGGTGCTCCTTGTGATGGTACTGGTGGTGCTGGTGCTCCTGGTGATGGTACTGGTGTTGGTGCTCCTGGTGATGGTACTGGTGGTGCTGGTGCTTCTGGTGATGGTACTGGTGGTGGTGCGTGATACCTTCCCTCACCTTGCACGTAATGTATATCCTTCTTACACGCAGCCACCTCACCCACTCCCCTCTCCCTACCCCTCACACTGTGGCATCACCGGGCACCACCAGGCACCACAAGACATCACCAAGTACCACCAGGCATCACGAGGCACCACAAGGCATCACCAGGCACCACCAGGCACCACAAGACATCACGAGGTACCAACAGGCACCACAAGGCATCACCAGACACCACAAGGCGCCACCAGGCACCACAAGACATCACGAGGTACCACAAGGCACCACCAAGTACCATTATGCACCACAAGGCATCACCAGGTACCACAAGGCACCATCAGGCACCACCAAGTACCATCATGCACCACAGGGCACCACCAGGTACCACAAGGCACCACCAAGTACCATCAGGCATCACCAGGTACCACCAGGCACCACCAGGCACCACCAGGCACCACCACCTGCCACAGTGTGGCAGGGCAGGTCACAGCTGGGATCAGCAGGTCACAGCTGGGGTCAGCAGGTCACAATTGGGGTCAGCAGGTCACAGCTGGTGACCCCTCACCACCTGTGTGAGCCACCTAGCACAGTGGTACAGCAGTGGACCTGCTGATTCCCGGTCCCACGGTTCGACTCTTTCCACCGTAATAAATGTTTGTTGGTGGGTGGGTTTAATGTGTTGGTGGTGGGTTTAATGTTGGTGGGTGGGTTTAATGTGTTGGTGGGTGGGTTAAATATGTTGGTGGTGGGTTTAATGTGTTGGTGGTGGGTTTAATGTGTTGGTGGTGGGTTTAATGTTGGTGGGTGGGTTTAATGTGTTGGTGGGTGGGTTAAATATGTTGGTGGTGGGTTTAATGTGTTGGTGGTGGGTTTAATGTTGGTGGGTGGGTTTAATGTGTTGGTGGGTGGGTTAAATGTATTGGTGGTGGGTTTAATGTGTTGGTGGTGGGTTTAATGTGTTGGTGGTGGGTTTAAGGTGTTTGTTGGCGGGTTTTATGTGTTGGTGGGTGGATTTAATGTGTTGGTGGTGGGTTTAATGTGTTGGCGTGTGGGTTTAATGTTGGTGGGTGGGTTTAAGGTGTTTGTTGGTGGGTTTAACGGGTTGTGTTGGTGGATTTAACGGGGTTGTGTTAGTGGGTTTAATGGGGTTGTAATGGTTTAATGTGGTGTTGGGGTTTAACATGGTTGTCTTAGTGGGTTTAACGTAATTGTGCTGGTTTAACGTCGTTATTTTCCCTTGTGGTTTATTTTGGTGGGTTTAAATAGTTTATTTCGTTATTACTGATAGGCTTAACGTATTCTTTCGTTATTGATAGATGTGATAGACAGTTATTTAACAAGTCTATTGACGAATTGATGCAATATACACGTACTAATATATGTTTACTGCATATAGCTATCCTGTCTATTGGGGAATAGATACAATAGACAGGTATTGATAGATGTTTTCTATCTTGTACAGGGCGTGGTATACCACTATCTAGGGAGGGAACGCCTTGCTGAGAAAACTCTAATGGATGCCATCCGGATCGACCCCCATGACCACCACTCATGGTAAGTACAAAAAGTTCTTGATCCTGGGAATAGGAGCTGCAATAATCTCAGATCAACCTGGATTAGCTTTCACCTTCCTCTGTACTCGCCGTATTGTGGTATAAGGGGTCGAGTCATAGCTCGTGGCTCTGACTCTTCACTGGTCGATACGAGGTGTCTTCAGGGTGTGGGAACACCCACAGTGTGTTACTACACTGTTCTGTATGATAGTTACATTGTGGGAACACCCACACTGTGTTACTACACTGTTCTGTATGGTAGTTACACTGTGGGAACACCCACAGTGTGTTACTACACTGTTCTGTATGGTAGTTACACTGTGGGAACACCCACAGTGTGTTACTACACTGTTCTGTATGGTAGTTACACTGTGGGAACACCCACAGTGTGTTACTACACTGTTCTATATGGTAGTTACGCTGTTGGAACACCCACACTGTGTTACTACACTGTTCTATATGATAGTTACATTGTGGGAACACCCACAGTGTGTTACTACACTGTCCTGTACGATAATTACACTGTGGGAACACCCACACTGTTACTACACTGTTCTATATGATAGTTACATTGTGGGAACACCCACACTGTGTTGCTACACTGTTCTGTATGATAGTTACATTGTGGGAACACCCACACTGTGTTACTACACTGTTCTATATGATAGTTACACTGTGGGAACACCCACACTGTGTTACTACACTGTTCTATATGATAGTTACATTGTGGGAACACCCACAGTGTGTTACTACTATTCTGTATGATAGTTACACTGTGGGAACACCCACAGTGTGTTACTACACTGTTCTATATGATAGTTACATTGTGGGAACACCCACACTGTGTTACTACACTGTTCTATATGATAGTTACATTGTGGGAACACCCACACTGTGTTACTACACTGTTCTGTATGATAGTTACATTGTGGGAACACCCACAGTGTGTTACTACACTGTTCTGTATGATAGTTACACTGTGGGAACACCCACAGTGTGTTACTACTGTTCTGTATGATAGTTACACTGTGGGAACACCCACAGTGTGTTACTACTGTTCTGTATGATAGTTACACTGTGGGAACACCCACAGTGTGTTACTACACTGTTCTGTATGATAGTTACACTGTGGGAACACCCACAGTGTGTTACTACACTGTTCTGTATGATAGTTACACTGTGGGAACACCCACAGTGTGTTACTACACTGTTCTGTATGATAGTTACACTGTGGGAACACCCACAGTGTGTTACTACACTGTTCTGTATGATAGTTACACTGTGGGAACACCCACACAGTGTTACTACACTGTTCTATATGATAGTTACACTGTGGGAACACCCACACAGTGTTACTACACTGTTCTGTATGATAGTTACACTGTGGGAACACCCACACAGTGTTACTACACTGCTGGAAAGTAACTACAAAGTTACCTTCCAGCAGTCGTACAGTTACTAGGGTAATGTGAGTGTTGTGACGGTATAAGCAGAGTTACATGAGAGGGGAATGGAAGAGAGAGGGAGGATGTAGGAGGAGGAATGGACAAAGATGAGGAGGCTGGAGGATGAGGCGGCTGGAGGCGGCTGGAGGAGGAGGCTAGAAAAGGAGGAGGTTGGAAGATGAGGCTGGAGGAAAAGGCTGGAGGAGGAGGAGGAGGCTGGAGAAGAGGGCTGGAGGAGGAGGCTGGAGGAGACGGCTGAAGGAGACGGCTGGTGGAGACGGCTGAAGGAGACGGCTGGAGGAGACATAATGCAGTATACCAGTATGGCTTCTTGTTGTTTTGTCTTAGTCTCCCCAACTTGTATTTATCTCCCCCTCACTACACAGGTGGGGGTGTTGACCCCTTCCCCCCCACCAGTACACAAGACAGGTGGGGAGGAGGGGGGCGCGTCTCCCCGTCTTCAGGACTGGAAGCCAGTTTATACCTTGATTATAATGCAGAGGTGATGCCAGCGACCCACCGGGTGGGCAAGAAACTAACTAGGTGGGCTAAATACCCACTGGGTGGGCTAAATACCCACTAGGTGGGCTAAATACCCACTGGGTGGGCTAAATACCCACTAGGTGGGCTAAATACCCACTGGGTGGGCTAAATACCCACTGGGTGGGCTAAATACCCACTAGGTGGGCTAAATACCCACTGGGTGGGCTAAATACCCACTAGGTGGGCTAAATACCCACTAGGTGGGCTAGATACCCACTAGGTGGGCTAAATACCCACTGGGTGGGCTAAATACCCACTGGGTGGGCTAAATACCCACTAGGTGGGCTAAATACCCACTGGGTGGGCTAAATACCCACTAGGTGGGCTAAATACCCACTAGGTGGGCTAAATACCCACTAGGTGGGCTAAATACCCACTGGGTGGGCTAAATACCCACTGGGTGGGCTAAATACCCACTGGGTGGGCTAAATACCCACTAGGTGGGCTAAATACCCACTAGGTGGGCTAAATACCAACTGGGTGGGCTAAATACCCACTAGGTGGGCTAAATACCCACAAAGTGGGCTAAATACCCACTAGGTGGGCTAAATACCCACTAGGTGGGCTAAATACCAACTGGGTGGGCTAAATACCCACTACGTGGGCTAAATACCCACTAAGTGGGCTAAATACCCACTAGGTGGGCTAAATACCCACTAGGTGGGCTAAATACCCACTAAGTGGGCTAAATACCCACTAGGTGGGCTAAATACCCACTGGGTGGGCTAAATACCCACTACGTGGGCTAAATACCCACTAAGTGGGCTAAATACCCACTAGGTGGGCTAAATACCCACTAGGTGGGCTAAATACCAACTGGGTGGGCTAAATACCCACTACGTGGGCTAAATACCCACTAAGTGGGCTAAATACCCACTAGGTGGGCTAAATACCCACTAGGTGGGCTAAATACCCACTAAGTGGGCTAAATACCCACTAGGTGGGCTAAATACCCACTAGGTGCGCTATAAACCCACCTGGTACTGGAACTATTGATGGAGTGGAATTTACAACAATTCACAACGAACCCACAATACCATGACGGTAACAATTCACAACTAACCTACAACTATGGAGAAACGTGCGGACGACATTTCGCTCCTTCTGAGACCGTTTTCAGGTCACGACTGACTGTACCTGTGGTCTTCAGACCGACCCTCTGGCGTGTGCTGCGAACGAACCAGGCGAGTATTGACGTGTATTAAAGACAGAGAGAGGAAGTGTGTGTGTGTGTGTGTGTGTGTGTGTGTGTGTGTGTGTGTATGTGTGTGTATGTGTCATTTATTACACGACCTTTCGCTCACTGGGGCTTTTATCAGTCTCTACCGGGCGAAACATCTCTCCCAGAAGAGTTGGGATCCAACTTTCACCACTGTAAGTGTTCTCTACTGGTACCTCTGGTGTGGTCTGGTACCTCTGGTGTGATCTGGCACCTCTGGTGTGATCTGGCACCTCTGGTGTGGTCTGGGACCACTGGTGTGGTCTAGGACCTCTGGTATGGTCTAGGACCTCTGGTGTGGTCTAGGACCTCTGGTGTGGTCTGGGACCTCTGATGTGGTCTGGGACCTCTGGTATGGTCTAGGATCTCTGGTATGGTCTGGGACCTCTGGTGTGGTCTGGGACCTCTGGTGTGGTCTGGGACCTCTGGTGTGGTCTGGGACCGTGTCGCCTACACAGTCGATTTCTTCGGTCAAAGATGTATATGGCAGGTGAGGCTGGGATAGATAATGGTACTGTGGTTGAATATATGATGGTACTATGGTTGGATAGATAATGGCACCATAGTGGGTCATGGCAGCAGTGACTGCTGGTTCACTCTTGACTACCATAAATGGTAGTGGTGTCTGCAACAGTGGTACTGCTTGTGTGTTGATTGTGTGGTCGACACTGTGTGGTAGACTGTTGTCTAGGACCTTGTGTGTCCTAGCCCTCTGTGGTCTGGGAACCGTCGATGGTCTGACCTTGTGTATGGTCTATGTCTCTCGTGTATTCCTGCCTCTGCTCGGCTGGACCTTGTCTTGCCTCTGTGTGTCTGGCCGTTCCCTAATCTTCTTCGCAAGTGTATGGAGTGGCTGAAAATTGGTACTTGTTGTATTATGTACAGGTTTTAATATGCACCTGGGGGTTCAATGCCAGCAGCACTTTCATTGAACATAATTAAACTGGTTTGAATCATGTCTGTAGTCTGGTCTTATGTCTACAGGTATTTATTTCGTCTATACAGACGTTATTTTTAACATAACCTTGTGTAGTAATACCTACCTGTGTTCCCAGTACTTGACTGTCTATCCCCATCCTCCTATAATGCATCGAATGTACTATTTCTACTTCTGTACATTGTACACATTTTACTACTCATTGGGTTCAAATCCTATGACATACTACATGATTAGAAATCCTGTTTTGAACATTCTGGACTTCATTATTCTCAGGCTATGTTATTCCCATCACAGTTCATTTAACATCATGGAGAATTATCCCAACTGTCCACTAACAATATGTATTCACCCATACCAAGATACAACTATACAACCTAGTTCACCTATACATCATATAAAATTCCTGGTATGACAACATTCGCGACTATGTCCCCAGGATGCCACCCACACCAGTCCACTAACACCCAGGATGCCACCCACACCAGTCCACTAACACCCAGGATGCCACCCACACCAGTCCACTAACACCCAGGATGCCACCTACACCAGTCCACTAACACCCAGGATGCCACCCACACCAGTCCACTAACACCCAGGATGCCACCCACACCAGTCCACTAACACCCAGGATGCCACCCACACCAGTCCACTAGCACCCAGGATGCCACCCACACCAGTCCACTAGCACCCAGGATGCCACCCACACCAGTCCACTAACACCCAGGATGCCACCCACACCAGTCCACTAACACCCAGGATGCCACCCACACCAGTCCACTAACACCCAGGATGCCACCCACACCAGTCCACTAACACCCAGGATGCCACCCACACCAGTCCACTAACACCCTGGA